CTGGGTGAATTATACCTTATAAATACAGTATGTGGCACTTTTAATGCTATTTGAAGGTGTCCATGTTGTTGTGAAGACTTGTGCGGCTGCCTTTACCCTTTACTCTCCTGACTTTGAAAATATAATTGCCTGAATTGTAGAAAAGCTAAATTAAGATCGTGTGTAGGGTCGAATCGAGATCTTTTTTCGATTAATTGTGCAGCCCTAAAACCAACGTTCAAAATTTTTGTTCAAAAACGCTTGTCCCCCCTCCCGTCTCCCCCGACGGCCCGCGCTCACACCACAAACGGGCTTCGGCACGCTTACATCATCGCTGCTGTTCTATTCAGTGAGAAGCACTCTCTCACTCAGCAGCACAGTGGAGATTTCTCTAGTTATATCGTTTCAGTCGTTTGATACGCCGTCAAATATTTCGCCAAACAGTCCTTAGGGATGCGGGGACACGCAGTCAGATATTTCGCCGAACAGATCCGCCACTTTTGGCGCTCATAAACAATCATAAAGCTCTCGTGCTGCAGGAATGAGGAGGTCTGCTGAAGCCGCGCAGCTGTCGTGCAGTGAGGGGTTTGCGTCTTTAATAAACTACGGCAGTTTGCGTTCACTGAACAGTAAGAATGAATAATAAATCCATATGAAACAGCCCCTTAGAAGTCACGTCTCGCTTTCAGTTTCGGGCTTTGCCGCGTTTTGCACTCACACACAAGCGTACCGCGCCAAAGCCCAAGTGAACCAGGCTCAGGCAAACCTCTTCCGGGCCAGGGCCGGCCAAGTGAACCGTGCTTGAGCCCGATTCAGCGCACTCACACTTATCAAACGATCCGGGAAACGGGCCTGGGCACGGTACGGATGGCATAGTGTGAGTAGGCCCTAATACTCTTCTTTAAGTCCAGTGAATCTATAATTTAAGAAAATACTTTAGAAATTTAAAATCAATAAATACAGAACTGTTCTATTCTAACTATTCGAGAAGCGCCTGTACAGTATAACTCATGATTAAAATAGCAGGCCACTTGAGTGTGCAAAAGCAAGATCTAAAACTCTTCTTTAAGTCCAGTGAATCTATAATATAAGAAAGTTCATGTTTAAATTGTATAGCAATAAATACAGAACTAATCTATTCTAATTCTTTGAGAAGCGCCTGTACTAATCATGATTTAAATAGCAGGCCACTTGAGCATGCAAGAGATCTAATGCTTTTCTTTAAGTCCAGTTAATCAATAATATCAGAAAATTACTGGTCACACTTTACAATAAGGTTATTTAATGTTAATTAATTAATTAATGCATTTACTAACCTGAACAAACAATAAACAATACATCTACTACTGTATTTGTTCATGTTAGTTAACGTTAGTTAATGAAAATACAGTTGTTCATTGTTAGTTCATGTTAACTCATGGTGCATTAACTAATGGTAACAAGCATGGACTTGGATGTTAATAATGCATTAGTAAAGGTTAAATTATGAGCAATAAATGCTGTACATGTTGTTCATGATTAGTTCATGTTAGTAAATGCATTAACTAATGAACCTTATTGTAAAGTGTTAAAAAATTACTTTAGAAATTAAATAGCTGTAAATAGAGAGCTATACTATTCTAACTCTTTGAGAAGTGCCTGTATAACTCATGATTAAAATAGCAGGCCACTTGAGCTCCCAAAAGTGAGATCTAATGCTTTTCTTTAGGTCCAGTTAATCAATAATATAAGAAAAGTTCATTTTTAAATAATACAGCAAAAAAAACGGAACTATTCTATTCTAATTCTTTGAGAAGCGCCTGTATAAATCATGATTTAAATAGCAGGTCACTTGAGCATGCAAGAGTGAGATCTAACGCTTATCTTTAAATCCAGTAAATCTATAATATGAGAAAGTTACTTTAGATATTAAAAAAACAATAAATAGAGAGCTGTACTGTTTTAATTCTTTGAGAAGTGCCTGTATAACTCATGATTAAAATAACAGGCCACTTGAGCACGCAAAAGCGAGATCTAATGCTTTTCAGCGGGACGTTGGCTTCGCACAGAGCTGCTCTTCTGATGCCTGCAGATGCCTGTCATGACCCGCGATCAGGGGCCCCGGGGCCACTGCACTGCCAGGGAACAGTTTACTCATGACCGGCCCCAATAGGCAGTCATCGTGGTCCCCAAGGGTTCCAAGGGCTGCGTCTTTCACCCTGAACTGAGCCGATAGGACAGCTGTGATTAACAAGCAAGCATTTTAAGCAAGGAACAACAAAGAAAAAGGGTGACATTCCTCTTCTCTTTAACAGCCGGCAGTGAACTGTGGATCACCCTAGATGAAGACATACTGTACAGATGTGTTTACAAGCTTGACACAGCATGCCTGGATGTGGTAAACAGGCCCGAGAAACTGTGACGTTTGCAGCAGGATGACAAATGGGTCAAAATATGAGACTTGCTTGTATAACTCACTTAATGGTTTAGACATGAAAAAGAGTGACGTCTTCAGAAACCTCATAAAAGGCATGGTTTTATTCCAGATCTCCGGAATATTACACTGTAAAAAAATCGTAATTTTACGATTTATTTCCGGCAGCTGGGATGCCAGAAAAAAAACATAAAATAATGGCCATTAAATTACAGAAATTAACTGTAAAATAACTGACATTAAATTACAGGAATTTCCTTAAATTTAAAGTTCTGGTAAATTTCTGTAATTCAACCTGTTATTTTACAGTTAATTTCTGTAATTTAACGACCAATATTTTACGGTTAATTTACAGCACCTGAGCTGCCGGAAATAAACCATAAAATTACCATTTTTTTTACAGCGTAGTTTTGTTTTTAATAGTTCATGCTTAAACATATTGAGGTACTTAGCATCAAACATGTAAAATATCATCTTTAGGTACCCTTGAAGAACATTTTACTATAAATAAACTGTAAAAATGCTATTTATAGTAAACGCAATTATTCTGTTAGTGAAATATTTTCTTCATTTCTTGTTCTGTTCTTAACACTGTTATTTTTTTCGAAGAATTTGTTGTGGCGTGTAGGCATGGGACGATAACCGCTTTCAAGGTATACCGCAGTTTTTATATACAGCAACATTTTCTGTAATACCGTTCCTAAGGTATTTGTACGACTTGTTTTGTTTTTTAGGATAACAGAATCTGCAGCAGAAATGATCTCCAAAGATGCCGGTTTAAATTGTAAAAAAAAATCTGTGTTTTTGAAACTGATGAAGACAGCAAAAGTCAATGATTCATTTGAATTATTTAGCTTGACAGCTTTTTAGTCTGAGAAAAATGCTTAGTTTTTCAGCCAAACATTTAAAAAAGTGGCATGAATGAAACTAGAACATGCATTTATGATGTTTTTAAATGTTTCGATTTATTGAGGGCTACCAACAACCAATTTATCTTCTCAATTCTTCATCCAGAACTGGTCTCTTCACATCTGACAAAGCATGTTGAGTCGAATGATGTCTGATTTTTCCAAGACAGCCATTTTGGGCGTCACCAATTTAGATTTTTGTCAAAAAATGCTATATTTCGTATTCACGTATCATTACAAAACATGGTTTGCATCTTCGACACCATGCCCTGAAGGTACTTAATTTCTGGAGCAGCACCACCTTGTGGCCAAATGCTATAATAAAAAAATGCTCATAACCTTTGCTAAACATTCTTTATTGACATGACATGTGTCTTGTTATATTCCCTGGATCATGCCGAGATCATTAATACCGATTATACCAAAATAAACTGACCTTCCTGTCTGCCATTTTGTTTTTGATTGAAAGCTTTTTTTGTTTGTTACAGACAAATGTGCTGACACGATGTTAAAGATTGTCTGAGGCTGTGATTCTGAAACTTTTAATCATATTGACGCTGAACTTTTGGTGTGTCACTGGCATGTCAAAATAACCAAAACACAGAAATTTTGTAAAAGGGGGAACCTAGTAGTCACGCGTTAAAAACCCTTAACTAACCATTAATAATGAATCTTACAAAATGGCTAATAAATGTTGATTGCATAGGTTTATTGTGGTAAAATTTGAATGAAATTATTTATTGTGTCATGCCGAGAACATTGATACCAAACATGCCATATTTGGGCAAACTTCCTGTCTGCCATATTGAATTTGTTCAAAAAGCTTCTTTGGCGAACTCCTCCTCGACCGTTGACTCAATTTTCACCAAATTTGACTCATCTTCAGACCCTGCTGACCAAACATTATGGAAATCATATCGGTTGTCATTTACAGCATCGACAAATGGGCTAGCACGATGTTAGAGTGAATCTGAGGCTGTAACTCTCCAATGCTTAAACATATTGACAGTGAACTTCAGCTGTGTAATTGGCAAATCACAATGCCCACAACACATATATTTGTTAATAGCGCCACCTAGTGGTCATGAGTTGTAAACCATTCACTAACCGTCAATAATGAATAAAAAATGTGCTAATAACTTTAGACTGCATATGTTTATTGTGGTAAAAATCTCAACTTATTCCTTGGGTCATGCCGAGAATACTGATACCAAATATTTGGCTAAACTTCCTGTCCGCCATATTGATTTTGTTTAAAAGCTTCATTTGCAAACTCCTCCTAGACCATTCGCCAAAATATTACCAAATTTGACTCGGATCATCAGACCATGTTGACCAAATGTCATGAAATTCGTTTCAATAGGCAAAATGTTTACGGCACCAACAAAAGTGCTCAAATGTGCTCATTCTGTCTCTGGACTGCTTTAGTCCTTCAGGCTCTCAACTGCTTGGCCCCTTATTTGCTGCTTGCAGCTATACTTATTATTATTTCTATCATCATGATCATAATAGAAAGCCATTTATATAACACTGCGAAGTGACAAAATTTTTATTTATAGAGCTTTAAATAATTAAATATAAAATGCAGGTCAATTTAGCTAAACAAGCAACTTGAACAAACAGCAAATGTCATTTTTCTGGAGTGTTGAAGAGAGTGAAGTGTTGAGTCTTTTAAAGACTTCTCTGAATGCGATACTTACGGCTGCTTGCTGTCGCTTCAGCTTATCTCTGTACTCCTCCAGCTCCAGAAGGTTCAGATCCGGAGGGAGTTTCTGTTTTGTGAGCAAACACAAACAGAGAAAGAGATCTGAGATTCGTGGCTTTCTTTTATCTCGATGGTAGTTCTTGAACTGGAACATTTGGTTGTGGATTTCACTCAATCTCCAGCTGAACAGCTCGAACAAACTTTTCATTTGCTTAAAATGCTGATACAGCAACTTTAAAGGCATAAACAAATAACACCTAATGCCTTATCCTCAAACAGAGAAAGGATGTCTGGACTTAAATAGCACTAGCTATTTTCCCCCTAGCAGTAGTTCTCATGCCATGCAGCGTTTTGTAATGCACTACCAAATCTAATGAGATTTCGCATTCGCAGTATGTGAATAATCCATCAGCCCTTCACAAAGACAGCAGGAGTCAGTGATTAGATTCACCAATACACACTTAAAAAAAAAAAAAAAAAATATATATATATATATATATATATATATATATATATATATATATATACAGTTGAAGTCAGAAATATTAGCCCCCTTTTGATTTTTTTTTCTTTTTTTAATATTTCTCAAATTATGTTTAACAAAGCAAGGAAATTTTCACAGTGTGTCTGATAATATTTTTTCTTTATTTGTTTTACTTCGGCTAGAATAAAAGCAGTTTTAATTTTTTTAAAAACCAATTTTGGGACAAAATTATTAGCCCCTTTAAGCTAATTTTTTTTTTCAATAATCAACAGAACAAACCATCGTTATACAATTACCCTAACCTGCCTAGTTCACCTTATTAACCTAGTTAAGTCTTTAAATGTCACTTTAAACTGTACAGAAGTGTCTTGAAAAATATCAAGTAAAATGTTATTTACTGTCATCATGGCAAAGATAAAATAAATCAGTTATTAGAAATAAGTTTTTAAAACTATTATGCTTAGAAATGTGCTGAAACAATCTTCCCTCCATTAAACAGAAATTTGGGAAAAAAATAAACAGGGGCGCTAATAAGTCAGGGGGGCTAATAATTCTGCCTTCAACTGTGTATATATATATATATATATATATATATATATATATATATATATATATATGTGTGTGTGTGTGTGTGTGTATATATATATATATATATATATATATATATATATATATATATATATATATATATATATATATATTAGGGATGTAACGGTATCAGAATTTCACGGTACGGTAATACCTCGGTATCAATGTCACGGTACGGTATTTATTGAATCATTTACAGGAAAAAACAAAACTTATGAAAATACTCCAAAAAAGTGCCAAAAGTGTCAATGACATACAAATTAGCCATCTATCTGTAAGCTTTGAAACAGGAACTTCAATTTTAATAACAAAAAAAATATTAAACCATGTAAAAAAAAATTTAAGTTTTTAATTTAGTATTGTTGAAAACTCATCACATTCAACATTTAATCACTAACTCACTTAGATAGAGATGGGTTTAAAGGAAAATTATCATATAAATATAATCTGGTAAAAGCTGGTATCTCTGGGCATTTACAATGTCCCCTGCAACAGAAAAAAAAAACCTCTCATTTGGTACTGAGGTTTCTGGGACAAGAGAGATATGACTTATATGACTTATTTCTCGAGCGCCGAAAACGGAGTGTTTCGAAAACGCTGGAGAGGCCGTTTTCATTCTGAAACGCTGCTGCTCCGTCTCAGTGTGGATGGGGAAAGACGGAGACATCTGAAAACGGAGGCAGGGCTGCAAACGTTCGCCTATCTTATTGGGGCTTTTCCTCAATATTAAGTAGCCCACACACAGTTCAGTCTCGCATCCTCTTCTTGTAAGTTAAGACTTCGCAAGTTTGATCAAGGCTGCAGTCTCCCCCTTCTCAGTTTGATATGGAAAACATACCGAGGACACGGGTAAATCTTCAAAGGGAACAGTGTACTTTATAACTTCATTCACATCACCTTGGCTACGTTGTTTCACTTTCTCAACAATAAAATGTAAACATGATTTAAGGAACTGCCTATTTCCTTTTTAATATTAGAAAACTTAACAGACAGCAGAAATGTTGAGGCGTCGTGCTGCATATATGAGCGTCATCTTCACTTTGTGGATATTTATAACAAAACGGAGCCTATAACAACTACCTCCTTTCAATTTCAGTGAAAATACGAAACGCACCCTCTCTTTTGCTGAATATCAGTTTTAATAATCGATAATTATAAAAGTATAACATACATCAAGTTTATACATTGTAGGAAATAAAGGCAAGCGATCAGTCAATGTACCTGGATTAATCATTAACTTATCTTTGCGCTTAACCAAAACATGTTACCCGTGAACAAGTAACTTAATAGATTCCAATGACCAAAGTCAGGGAATTGGCCTATGTCGTTAGATAAAGACAACAACATGAATAAAATATCACGTTTAGCAAATATAGTGAGATTAGATCCAGCGGGAGATGCGTGATGAGCAGTCCGACAAGCAGAGCTCTCATCTGGGTAGAAATGCTGGAGCGCTTGCCTGAGTTGTGTGTGTGGTCACGTGATGTGCGTTTTCAGCGTTTTGGTGTGGACGGAGAGCTGTTCAGAAACGCTGGGTAAAACGCGAGTGTGGACGCGGATCGTTTTCATTCTACAACGCCGTTTTAAAACTAAAACGCACTCTTGTAAAAGGGGCCTTAGAGTTTTACAGCTCTTTTTGATCCCCGCTTCTAGCAGCACACTCCATTTCCGCATTACTGGATCTGTAGCGACAACAGACCGCAAGGGATGATGGGGATTGTAGTTTTCGCTACCTCCCGTTCGCTTCATTCGCCTGAGCAAATTTTCTCAGAAGACCTATAGTTTTACCGAGTCATGCGACTTCGGTAATATCGAAAAAAATTAATATTGCGGTATGACGGTATTTACAAAACCGTTACATCCCTAATATATATATATATATATATATATATATACACATATATATATATATATATATATATATATATATATATATATATATATATATACACACACACACACACACACACACACACACACTAAATACACATATATACATATTTAAAAAATTTAATAGACCACCCATTGTAAGGAAAATATAGATATTTTAGGATACCTTCAGTTTTAAGATTACTAATAACAAATTCGATAAAGTGCAAAGTATTTAGTCATTTGCATTTTTATAATCAAATAAGCCCCAGAACATTCATATTTCCTCTGAAGTCTGAAATTAATCAATATTAACATTAAGCAGGGGTGTCCAAACTCGGTACCGGAGGGCCCGAGTCCTGCAAAGTTTACTTCCATCCCCAATCAGACACACCTGGGCTAGCTAATCAAGCTCTTACTAGGCTTACTAGAAACATCCATGCGGGTGTGTTGAGATAAGTTGGAGCTAAAATCTGCCGGACACCGGACCTCCAGGACTGAGTTTGGACACACCGGCATTAAACCAACTAAAACTTATTTTTCTATTATGGACTGCAAGTAAATAATTGCAAATGCTCATTGGAACAAAAACAAATCATGATATAATGCTTTTCTACCTTTCTCTGTATACAATTAAACAATTCAATGTTAGTTTTAGAAATAACATTTGCAGGGTATCTCCGGGATCCTCTAAATGAAATTCAAGGCTTTTTAAGACATTTTTAATACCATTTCAAATAAAATTCAATGCCAACCTTCAAACCCATTTCAACAGAAGTATGAGGGGAAAATGTCAAATCTGTATAAATTTTGAACCCTAGAAAATAATTATGTACTAATAGGCCATCCTTTATTTCAATTATCAGTTATATTTAATACATATGCAACAGCGTGTTCGTCCAACCAGTAGCGAATATGAAGGTCCAGCATGACCACAAACCCATTAGCCTTAATGACCTGGTCAGTTTGTTCTTTAGTTATAACAGGAGCCAATCAGAATTTAGTAATATATGCAGTTTTGTTGCCTCCACACGAGAGTGTAGCTGCAACCTCAGAGTCAGGAAACATGGCTTTGAAAATCTCTGTAATGTTCTCATTCGATGAGTAAAAGTGGTGCTCAGAGATTTTTTTAAGGACCCACATCACCTCTGCCAGCAGAGTTGGTGTTGAGCCACAGTAAGATAGAATGTTCCTTGGCTGTGGTGGCAACGCTTCTAATATAGAAATTTCTTCATTACTGATAGCCAAAGCCGTTTCAGTAACCGAAGAGGTCTCTGGTGCATAGAACTGCACAATAGGTGGTTGGCACTGACAAGCAGTACTACACGGGGTGTGTTTGGCACCCTTCAGATGGGAGTCTAGGGCCGTAACACCCATTGTCGCTAGTTTAAAACATTTCCGGCACCAACAGCTGTATGCATCACGGTCATTTCCTGGCACAGGCTTGGACCAAACATAATTTGGATTCCTTAGCCTCAGCGGATTATACCACCACTTTCCCATTTTAGCAGACGAAATAGTCTAGCGACTATCTTGTTCTGTACCTCACTTGGCTAGTAATGGCTTCGCACGTTTTCTCACTTTCTGCTATGACATGGAGCGGAAAGTGCACTCAATGTTACTCTGCATGAAGTTTAATTAGCTTACATTAGTAACAGTTAATTTTGTTACGGTACGAACTTAATCCTAGGAAAGGCCAAATAAATGAATAAAATAAGACCTTTGTTACAAAATCCAAGACATTGTATACCAAATTCAAGGCTATTAAGGCCTTAATTTGAGATTATCAAATTTAAAACTTTTTCAATGCTTTTAAGACCCCGGGGGTACTCTGCATTTGGCTACAAAGCACATACTAGAGGATTAACAGTTACAGAAACATAAATCAAACACAAACACAAATCATGTATATTGCATTGCTTAATATGCATCTGGCATTTATGCGAGACAAAATAAATAAAGGGAAACTTTATTTAACAATGACAGTTCTGTCATCATTTACTATTCAGCTTAAGTTTTTTCTGGGTTCTGTGTGATGAACACAAAAACAAAAAAAAGACATTTTGAAGAATGTTGGAATCCTACAATTTTATTGAACTTCACAGTTTTTGCATTTCTTCCAAAGGAAGTCAATGGTAACATGTTTCTAACATTTTTCAAAATATCTTCTTTGTTTCCAACAGAACAAAAAACCCAAACTGGTTTGGAACAAGTCAAGGGTGAGTAAATGATGACAGAATTCGAATTTTTGGGTGAACTATCTCTTAACCGTATAACAAATGCAGTTTAGTTTTTGTTTCGTGAACAACCATGACTTGAGTTGACAGAGTACATACAGGAATCAAAGAGTGAAATTCAATACATTTTAAGACCTTTTAAAAAAGCTTTTTCCATACATTAATACCTTAAAACCACTTTTTCAAACAGATACACTAGCGAGACTTTAACTTAGAGTATATTTATTAAATATTAATGAAAGAAACTAATCTAAAACTAAAACATTATTCATATACTGAATAAAAATCTATTAAATCCAGCCAATTCAGCAGGCTATAGAACTGCAGAAATAATGGCGTTGCCTTGGTTACTGCAGTAAACAAAGCAGCATGATGTCAAATCTAGTAGGATTTCATTGATTTACATTTACATTTAGTCATTTAGCAGACGCTTTTATCCAAAGCGACTTACAAATGAGGACAAGGAAGCAATTTTCACAACTAAGAGCAACAATGAATAAGTGCTATAGGCAAGTTTCAGGTCTGTAAAGTCTAAGAAGGGAAGTATTAGTAGTATTAGTATTTTTTTTTCTTTTTTTTTCTTTTTTTTTTTGGTACAGTTAGTGTGATATTCAGAGAGGCAATTGCAGATTAGGAAGTGTAGTGGAGAGTAAATAGTTGAGTTTTTAGTCGTTTCTTTAAAATAGCGAGTGACTCTGCCGTTCTGATGCAGTTAGGGAGTTCATTCCACCAACTGGGCAGATTGAGCGTGAGCATTCGCGAAAGTGATTTCTTCCCTCTTTGGGATGGAACCACGAGGCGACGTTCATTCACAGAACGCAAGTTTCTGGAGGGCACATAGATATGCAGCAGTGAGAGCAGATAAGAAGGAGCAAGGCCAGAAGTCACTTTGTAGGCAAACATCAGAGCTTTGAATTTGATGCGAGCAGCAACTGGCAGCCAGTGCAAACGGACTAGCAGTGGAGTGACATGTGCTCGTTTAGGTTCATTGAAGACCACTCGTGCTGCTGCGTTCTGGAGCAGCTGAAGAGGCTTGATAGAGTTAGCTGGAAGCCCTGGAAGCCCAGCTAGTTTCATAAACTACACAGCATTCTGATATTCGCAGATTTAATTCAGGCAAACTTTAGCATGCAACCATATATTGAATAATCTAAAATGACATAAAATTTAATACCTTACAAAATAGCATTTAAGATTTTTTAATAATTTTAGAGGCCTTAAATTTCTCTACATTGATTTATCAACTGTGCAACGCAGTGGTGCAGTAGGTAGTGCTGTCGCCTCACAGCAAGAAGGTTGCTGGTTCGAGCCTCGGCTGGGTCAGTTGCCGTTACTGTCTGGGTTTGCATGTTCTCCCTGCGTTTGCGTGGGTTTCCTCTGGGTGCTCCAGTTTCCCCCACAGCCCAAAGACATGCGGTACAGGTAAATTGAATAAGCTAAATTGTCCGTAGTGTATGAGTGTGAATGGATGTTTCGTAGAGGGGTCGCAGCTGGAAGGGCATCCTATGCGTAAAACATGTGCTGGATAAGTTGGCGGTTCATTCCGCTGTGGCGACCCCGGATTAATAAAGGGACTACGCAGAAAATGAATGAATCAATGAATGACTTATCAACTTTTAATACTTTTTTAGGACCCCACGGACACCCTGGTTGGCGATGACAAGACTTACTGAGCTCAAATTTGGAAAGAGCTCCATTTATTTTACAAGAATTGACCCCTAGTTGACCTAAACCCCACTGTAAGACTTGAGATGTGCAGGAGGGTTAAACAAACAACAACAAGCAATATGTATTCTCTCATACACACACCTCAAGTTCATATTGAACCATGTCAAACGAGTCGCTGGAGTAGTAGACTTCCTCTATGCTGTCAATGATTTCTTGTTCTGCCTGTGGATCGGTGGGCTGCTCTCTCAGCTCCCTCAGCTCCTCCTGTGTGAAAAGCAAAAGAAATGAGAATGAGTATTGGCAGGGAAATCTCTGTGCTTCTGGGACGCTATCATTGGGAAGCTTGCCTCGCACCTAAGCACGGGGTCTGAGCATTGATTAATTTTCAAGTCTGGCTTACAGCCAAGCCAAGTGCAAAGATTAAGTGGTCTTAGCAGCCGTCCCTGAGGAACACCCTTCATGAACCTTAATGAGGATCAGCACAAGAACATCAATTTCACTCAAAACAGCTTGAAGAAACAAAGTCGTCCTCTTTTCTTTGAAGAGAAATGCTGAGAGGCTCATTACGCTTGATTCACATGCCGTGATGCAATGTGGTTAAAACAATGGTGCGACCCAAACTGAGATAAACTTACTGAGTCACACTGGCTTCCCAGAGCGAATGCAGAGGCAAGGTTTAAAAGAAAACTCCACTTTTTTGGGATATAGAGTAATTCGAGTTTTACACAGTTGAGTTTTGCCATTATTAAAAAATACAGCCAATCTCTGGATCTACTGAGAGCACTTTAAAGTTAGCTTAGAATAGATCATTGGATCGGATTAGACCATTAGCATCTTGCCTAACTCAATAAAAATAAAAAAATAAAATAAAAAAAGAGTTAAAGCTTGACTCTTGTGAAGTCTCTTGTGAAGTCTTGTCCAGCTTAACTCTTGTGAAATGAAGTTTCTATTTCATATAGCGTAAATCAGTGAATCGGTTTAGACCATTAGCCACTCAAAATTTCAATATTTTGTCAATAATTTCAACAATTTTCCTATTTCATCAATTGCGCAGCCAATTTCCTCGATTTTTACCCTAGAATGAGAGTAGAGTTCCAAGAAATATCGGTCTAGAAAATAGCAACTTTTATTTTCTGTCGATATTTCCAGGACATCAGATAAATGGATTCAAAAAAGGGGAAAACTCAACTTACACCACTTACTCAAGTTTGATACCACTAAAAGCACCCAGAGTTGCTTACTTGGTTATATTCGAAGGTTCTTCCTATTTTCGCTGAGAAAGAAGCTGAGGAAAGAGGTTACAACATCACTGTGACCCAAACGGAGTTAAACTTACTGAGCCACACAGGCTTCCCAGAGCAAATGCAGAGGCAATGTTTAAAGAAACACTGCACTTTTTGGGATATAGAGTAATTTGGATTTTACACAGTTGAGTTTTGCCATTATTAAAAAACTACAGCCAATCTCTGGGTCTAGCGGGAACACTTTAAACTTAGCTTAGCATAAATCATTGAATCGGATTAGACCATTAGCATCTTGCCTAACTCAATAAAAAAAAATAAAAAAAAAATAAAAAAATAAAAAAGAGTTAAAGCTTGACTCTTGTGAAGTCTGACTAAAATGAAGTTGCTATTTCATATAGCATAAATCAGTGATTCGGATCAGACCATTAGCATCTCAATAATTCAATACATTTTTCAGTAATTTTGAAAATTTCATCAATTGTGCAGCCAATTTCCTTGATTTTAACTCCAGAATGAGAGTAGAGTTCCAAGAAATATTGATCGTGAAAAAAGCAACTTTTATTTTCTGTCAATATTTCCTGGATATCAGATAAATAGATTCAAAAAAGGGAAAACTCAACTGTTTACCTCTAGGAAAGTTGGTGAAAAATTGGTGTGTTCTTTTTAAAACTCTTTAATTACAGCTGTCAGCCAAATTCACAGAAAGCAATACGAAGTCATTGAGATAGAAGCTGAAGAAAGAGGTTAAAACAACGCTGCAAACAGAGATATTTACTGAGCCACACTGACTTCCAAGTGCGAATACAGAGGCAAGGTTTAAAGGAAGACTCCACTTTTTGGGGGGAAATGAACGTATTTTACAACTCCCCTAGAGTTACACAGTTGAGTTTTGCCATTATTGAAAAATTCAGCCAATATCCAGATCTAGCGGGAGCACTTTAAACTTAGCTTAGCATAGATCATTGAGTCAGATTAGACCATTAGCATCCTGCTTAGTTAAAAAAAATTGTTGAGATCATTTTCCTATTTAAAGCTTGACTCTTCTGAGGTCTGACAAAAAATAAAAGATGCTGCCTGATATAAAATAAATCATTCAATCTGACCATTAGCATCTTGCTACAGAAATGCAAAAAATGCATTCAATAATGTTCCTATATCATCAATTGTGCAGCAAAGTTTCTTGATTAGTACGCCGTAATGAGTTCCTAGCCATATCAATCTAAAAAATAGCTAATTTTCATTTTCTGTTTCTTAGTAGACAATGTGTAGACAAAGAGTCAAGCGTCAAAGCTCTTATTGCATTTCTGAGATGCTAATTGTCGATTTAATGATTTATGCTAAGCTAAGCTAAATGTGCTCCCACCACACCAGGATATTAGGAAAACGGATTGGGAAAACCCATCTGGAAGTAAGTTGGTGAAAAATTGGTGTGTTCTTGTGAAAACCCTTTGATTACAGCTGTCAGCCAAAGTCAAAGAAAGCAATACACATCAATACACCACTTACTCACGTTTGATACCACTAAAAACACCCAGAGTTAAACACTTGGTGATATTTGAAGGATCTTCCCATAAAGAGTGCAATTTGGAGTCATTGAGATAGAAGCTGAGGAATGATTTGGCCTGAAAGCCTTTAATCTGCTCAAAGACTCATGAGTGCGCGGTGAGGCTGATGTAGGCAGCGCTGTGAGGGAGCGTGGGTGAAGTCACAGAGGGACGGCAGCAGTAGCATCAGCATCAGCATCCGCATCCGCAGGGGGAAGAAGGATGAGTCACTCTCCACTGCTACACGCACAGCAAGAACAAAAGACCAAATCCACAGGCTCATCACTTACTATTACACACCCTCAAATCAACTTTCATCCAGTCGAGTCCAAGTCTATAAGTTTTGAGGTTTTTAGTATTTAAGTGGACTTAAGATTGGGGCCCCATGATATAAAAGTTTCTTACCAATAACGATAATCGATAATTAAGTTCTTCTCATGCCTGATATCGATAACTTCGGCCAGGCAGAATCTGCAGACATTTTTTTGTTAACTAAAAACTTGACATAAAAATAATACCTTTTTAACTTTTATTTAATGTTTTCAATGCTAATCCAATTAGGTCTATCTAAACAAAGCAAGTCTCTCATATAATAAATATAATACTAGACCCACTTCTGGCTTCAGATCTGCCTTAATTCTTGGTGGCGTAGATTCAACGAGGTACTGGAAATATTCCTCAGAGATTTTGGTCCATATTGACATGATAGCATCACACAGTTGCTGCAGATTTGTCGGCTGCACATCTAGGATGCGGATCTCCCATTTCACCACATCCTAAAGGTGCTCTATTGGATTGAGTTCTGGTGACTGTGGAGGCCATTTGAGTACAGTGTCATGTTCAATAATCCAGTGTGAGATGATTCGCGTTTTATGATATGGTGCTTTATCCTGCTGGAAGTAGCCATCAGAGGATGGGTACACTGTGGTCATGAAGGGATGGACATGGTCAGCAACAATACTCAGGTAGGCTGTGACGTTGACACGATGCTCAGTTGGTACTAATGGGCCCAAAGTGTGCCAAGAAAATATCCCCCACACCATTACACCACCACCACCAGCCTGAACTGAAGGCAGGATGGATCCATGCTTTCATGTTGCTGATGCCAAATTCTGACCCTACCATCTGAATGTTGCAGCAGAAATCGAGACTCATCAGACCAGGCATCGATTTTTTCCAATCTTCTAGTATCCAATTTTGGTGAGCCTCTGTAAATTGTAGCTTCAGTTTCCTGTTCTTAGCTGACAGGAGTGGTACCCGGTGTGGTCTTTTGCTGCTGTAGCCCATCTGCCTCAAGGTTGGACATGTTGTTTGTTTAGAGACGCTCTTCTGCATACCTCGGTTGTAACGAGTGGTGATTTGAGTAACTGTTGCCTTTCTATCAGCTAGAACCAGCCATTCTCCTCTGACCTCTGGCATCAACAAGGCACAGAACTGCCGCTCACTGGATATTTTCTCTTTTTCGGACCATTCTCTGTAAACCCTAGAGACGGTTGTGCGTGAAAATCCCAGTAGATCAGCAGTTTCTGTAATAGTCAGAAGAGTCAGTCCGTCCTTTCTTCTCCATTCTGATGCTCAGTTTGAACTGTAGCAGATCGTCTTGACCATGTCTACATGCCTAAATGCATTGCATTGCTGCCATGTGACTGGCCGATTAGAGATTTGCGTTAACAAACAGTTGGACAGGTGTACCTAATAAAGTGGCCAGTGAGTGTATAATATATCGAAATATATATTGTTATAAGTAGGCGACATTGTCTGAAAGTTTCTGCATTTTTTTTTTAATCTTTGCCAAAATAGGGTTAGGGTATAATTGTTTCCCATCACTTCTGACAATACCTAAAATGTGAGTGTACTTTTAATTCAGCTATCAATCTTCTGCTGATTACCCATAATTACCCTGCTCATGTAATAAGAATTTGTAGGTTCAAGTTGACCAAACACAGAAATTCACTTAGTGTAAGCTTTAGTTAACAAACCCAAAACTTTCCATTTACTATATACTAACCCTCATATGGTTTCAAATCTTTACAAGTTTCTTTATTCTGTTAAAGACCAAAGAAGATAATTTGGAGAAAGGTGAAAACCTGTAACCATTGACTTCCACAGTACGATTAACAAAAATGACGTTTGCTGTTTGTTTAACTACTTTTGTTGTAAAATGAGCTGAAACAGCTCAATTCTTCCGTTTTTTTTTTTTGTTTTGTTTTTTTGGAGGGGACAACTTAACCATTTTATCTTCAATCCACTAACATTTGTAAAAACTAATAGGTAAACCTAATTCCTTCATGTTGTCCCAACACAAATCGATTGTGTGGAACCCAGCATTTTTTACAGTGTAGGGAAAAGAAATACTATGGAAGTCAATGGTGACATGTTTTATCATTTTTCAATATATCTTCTTTTTTTCCAACAGAAGAAAGAAACTGATAAAGCTCTAAAACAAGAATGAGTAAATGATCAAATCATTTTTGGA